CGTACAAGGATGAGTAAAGACTAGAGAGAAATTAGAATGTGGCTGAAGTTGGATTCCATATTATAGTCAATCAGCATGGCTTACTTTGTGCCACTGATATATTATTCTAGTAGTGTGGCTAAGGCAGGTGAGGTCTGAACATACCTTTGATCTATTCCAAATTATCAAGGACTGAGATTGGACCTGCTCCAAGATTGGCTTTCTTTTGAAGACAATGCTCCAGGAATCAATCTGGCAAATAAAACCATCAGCAAAGAAGTTGTCCATAAGGAATCATGGCGGAAAGCCATCTGGAAGCTGCAGTGCAAAAAGTTAAGGACTTTTTATTCAGTCCTTTTTCTCGGTTCATCTCTTTTCTATCCCAAAAGGTTTTTTAGGCTCAAAAACTACAAGTAGAGAGATATTAAAATGCCCTTAGTTTCAGATGCAGTTTGAGGATTATGGATACTTTTTTCTACTTCTGCATGGGAGGTATCTAGCATAATGGTTTGTCCAACATACAGTTTGAACAATGTTCTTAATATTATTTTTACTTTATATCATAAAAATTACTTGTTATATATATCAAAATCCAATATAATATTTCAGAAATTTTTCTGTACATTTTATAAAAAATGTATGAGACCTACAAAACCACATAGAGTCATAACATGAACTGGCTCATTTGCTTTTATTGGAGCCCAGCATAGCAAGCATATTTTTTTTTTAAAAAAAATTCAACATTGAATACTGACTTCTACTCTAATCTGTTTGAACAAAGCTACATTATTAATCTGCAATTTTCTTTGCTTGATATCAAAACAAACACAACTGGGGAACCAAAGACTTTGTTCTTTTCTTCTTCATCATACTTCAGTTTCTGTAAGTACAGTATATTACTTTCTGTTATGCATGTGCTTCAGAGAAATACTATACAGTCTGCTGATAGCACAGGTTTGGTTTTATTGCTTATTTCTGAAGTAAATAAGGAGGACTACCATCTTTAGTGGAGATTTCCGATCATGCCCTATCTGTGTCCTGAACTACTCATGTTCTGTTGGTGGAGGGTATTACTTTTGTATGGATCTTAGATTTAACCACCTGGCTCCTTGTCTCTCTACAACAAGGGTCTTCAAACTTGACAGCTTCAAGACTTGTGGACTTCAATTCCCAGAATTCCTGAGCTAACATGACCGGAGGAGGAATTCTGGGAGTTGAAATCCACAAATTTTAAAGCTGTCAAGTTTGAAGACCCCTGCTCTAAATTATTGCAGGACAAAAAGGCTACTGGACTACATGCCTCCAACACATCCATTCACACAACCCATGAAAGCACACAAATTATATCTCTTGGATACACTTTTTAGATATACTTGGATTATTCAAGTTTCACTCCTGCAGGATTTTTTTCATTTTCTTTCTGCGACTGTACCCCTGGATAGCTAAAGAGAACATTTTAAAAAAGCATAGGAAAAAAATATCTTTAAGAATATATATTTGTCAGATTTGTGCTACTCTATAAAATAACCAAATATTATTGATTGATACAACTCAGTATAAGCCAAATTCCTTTCTTCATCCAAATGAGCTGGTTAAAAAAAGGAAGAATATATAGCATAGCCTGATCCCAGGGGTGGGATTCAAATTTTTTAACAACCGGTTCTCTGGGCGTGACTTAGTTGGTGGGTGTGGCTTGGTGGTCATATGATTGGGTGGACATGGCTTGGTGGTCATGTAATTGGCTGGGCGTGGCCAACTCAATATCACTCAAATCGAGGCACGCATCTCCTCGCCTGGCCTCTCGTGACTGTGGGGATGCTGCAACAGTCGTAAGTGTGAAAAATGGTCATAAGTCACCTTTTTCAGTGCCATTTTAACTTTGAATGGTCACTCCACACAAGCAAAGTACCAGCAAAGGAGGAAAAAAACCTCCAGAGATGTTCCTGAGACAGGAAGTCTAGTCCTGCCTAGAATGTAATTAGGGTTAACGGAGAGGCAGTTTCTGTAAGCAACACCAGAATGTTTCCTTCCTGCCTTTCTTACAGGATTAGGCCAGTAATTTCTTCTAACAACTGGTTCTCCGAACTGCTTAGAATGTTAACAACCGGTTCTAGCAAATAGGTGCGAACTGGTAGAATCCCACCCCTGCCTGTTCCTCATTTTTACAGGTACGCATATGGTTGTAAATTACTATATTTAATTTATTCTCTTTCAGTATGTTTGATGGGATATGAGCATTTGGTTAAAGTGTCAGAACAGCTGTGGAGGACACTGAAGAAAGATGAGTCACTTGCTGTACTACCTTCTTGTTCTCGTTGAGAATGATGATAATTGTTTATATATATTTTTTCCAGAATACTATGAAGTTGGCTTGTTCCTTCTTCTCTAATTCTGCAGATCAGCCAATTCTTTTTATCAAGGCCCAATGCATATATGGAAAGAATAAACAGCATAAACAGGCAGATAACTTGAAATATACTTCAGTGAAGAATTTCTCTATTTTATTCAGTTTATTTAAAAGCAAAGAAAGTTACATTTATCCAATGATAAATAATCATTTCAACCACAGATGTACTGTGTACAGCACACTGTCCTCTCAGTGTAATTAACTGGAGTCTGAGTCAGACCTGAATTGCAGCTTAAAGTATCCATTTTGAGCCGCGGTGGAGCAGTGGTTAGAGTGCAGTATTGCAGGCTACTTCTGCTGCCTGCCGTCTGCCTGCAACTTGGCAGTTCGAATCTCACCAGGCTCAAGATTGAGGCAGCCTTCCATTCTTCTGAGGTGGGTAAAATGAGAACCCAGATTGTTGCGGGCAATAGGCTGACTCAGTAAACTGCTTAGAGAAGACTGTAAATCACTATAAAGCAGTATATAAATCTAAGTGATAATGCTATTGCTATTTTCATGCGTCCAATTTTGTATTTTATTAGCACTGAATATTTAATATATTTTTGGTTGTTTGGTTGTTCATGATCCTATTTACCCAAAAGCTCTGTCTCAGGGCTTCTCCCATGGTTTCTGGTTTCTAAAGTTTAGGCAGACTATTTTATTTCTCTATCTTACTTCAAAGTTGGAATGAATTTTATTAAAAATTAATACATTTTAAATTAATTAATTACCACTGCTACTTAGACCCTGATTTTTGTAGCTGTTCTGAATCGCCATCTGTTATTACTTCTTTCTTTCTTTATTTATTAGTTGAATGGAGTGCTTTGTATTCAGATATATTGTATACTGTAATTTTACGTTTAACTTTTGGTCACTATTTTAAGTGTTATGTAAGCTACTTTGGAGAAACTTCTATTTTAACGGACAGAATAAATAGATAAACTTAAAGAATACAGACTCTGAGGACTTAGTCTTTACTTCATATCCTTTCTACCAAAGAGACCAACATGACATTATTTTCTATCTATACCTTCTTCATAATATTGCCTTAAAATGCCCTTCTTAAACACACACAATAAGCTTTATGGCTCTGTGGGAACTTGGATTTAGCTCTAGCAATGATTCAACCCATTATAACTAGAGGGGGAATTGCTTACCAAAAGAAGCTGTTTTCAATAGCATTCCCTGCTGGCACATTCTGCCGGCTTTTAGTGTCAAAAGCGAATTCATGCCTCAAGTAGATTTTTTTGGATCCTAAAGCAAGACTGGACACAATCCAATATTGAATTAAGTGCACTTAACTCTGTCTCTATTGAATGACTACTCTAATGTGATCTGCTGTGGCATGACGTCCCACTTTCACTCCTTCGGTCAGTTAAGACAGATGAATATATTTATGAATAAAATAATTCAATCCTAGAATAGGATTGTTCAAGAAAATACATTTAATGTCAGCATTTGACATCAACCTTCCGTAATCTGCAACGGGTAAGTTTGCAATATCAAAAAGCTGAATGTGCAAATAAGATTAAAGAGGACATTCATGACTTCGCATAATGTTAGACCTCTTCACCCAATCTGTGTGTTCTCCATTTATGCAGACATTGATTTCCAGAAATCTAAACAATTGCCACACTGGCTGAAGGATTCTGAGAATTCAAGTCTACCCATCTGAAGAGACCTGTACTTGAAAGACATCTGCACTTTTGGAAAAAGTTCAGAGAACAGCAACTAAGATGATTAAAGGCCTGGAGACTAAAACATATGAAGAACGGTTGCAAGAATTGGATATGTATAACTTAGAGAAAAGAAGGACTAGGGTGACATGATAGTAGTATTCCAGTATTTGAGGGGCTGCCATAAAGAGGAGGGAATCAACTTATTTCCCTAACACCAGAAGGTAAGGCAAGAAACAATGGATGGAAATTAATCAAGGAGAGAAGCAACCTGGAATTAAGGAGAAACTTTCTGACAGTGAGAACCATTAACCACTGGAACAGCTTGCCTCCAGAAGTTGTGGGTGCTGCTTTTTCAAGAGGCAACTGGACTTTCCGATTTTGCTTTGAAGACATTTTACTTCTCATCCAAGAAGCTGAAGAAACGAAACATCTTCAAAGAAAAAACAGAAAGTCCAGTTGCCTCTTGAAAAAGCACCTTTGGGACGACCATGACCCGGATGACTGAGAATCTCCACAGATATTCTAATTGATTAATTCTGGAAAAAAACCATCTTTTTATCCTTCAATCTGCATATCTTCAGTTTTAGTGGACAATCACATCTTGTCCCAGCATCCATTATTATATTTAATAGTGCATAGATATTTTGAAATGTGGGGAAAGGATTTAATATGCAATTTATATGTTTATAATGTTAAGCATCAAAGATCAAAACAATTGCATAAAAATCAGAGAAAGTCAATGTAGACAACTGAAAATTGCAAATATTGACAGAGGTATCAAAAGACCAAAATTGCTTGTATTTCAATACAGTATCTACTAGGAAAAAAAACTGTTTATCTCTTAAGAGGAGTTATTGCTTAGCCAGGAGTTATAACCACACAAAGAAATGAGAAGAATAACACAGCAATGTTGTAATTTATTATCATTTAATATTCCACTATTTGGTTTAAACTTCCAGCATCCCCTTTTTATTTATGAAACTGTGACTAGGAAAAAAAACAGTTCTCTGCTTTACACTTTCATCTAGATATGTATAATGGTACTTCCAGTTTATTTCATTTAAGGAAAAACTAGCAGACCTGCCTCTTAATCCTCAGACTGAGATGGTAGAATAGGCATCTGAGGTAAGCAAATAAATATCACTTTATAACCAGTGTCATCATCCTAACGTTTCTTTCAAATCTTGAAAAACAAAACCAAGAAACTTGACAGCCTAAGAGATAATTTAAGTATAAACAATATCACTGGCTACAAGAAAGAAAACTACAATCTAAAAACTGATGCCCTGGCTAGATGATGAGGAGCCTGGGTTATTTACGCTAACATTTCACAATATTTTCAAACAGACCTTATAAAATAAACAAAAGCCGCTAAATTCTACTCTTTGTTTATGCAAAATTTTAGGGGTTAAGTATGGCCAAGGTTGCCATAAGTCTTGATAAAGCTGGTATCAACAAGGGTTATTTATGCCAACACTGTAAACCATCATTGCTGATGAACTGAGTTTCATAAGCATCATTCCCTCTACCCTCTAAAATATTGATATCAAGGCTATTTAGAATCTTTCTGGTATTTCCTCTTTATCTCAATTGTTAGTTGGAAGAAGTTTTATAGCAGTTATAAATGCTTTAGGGAATTTATTGGCTTTCACCCACTGCTGAGTTGAAGTTCCTTGGGCCAAAGAGAAGTAGGAAGTCTCTTTTACCAACCCTAACTTTGCTTCTCCTGCCTCTATTTCAATTCTCTGCTGTCATTAGATTTTTCTCCAAGATAACAAACCTCATCAAATTTTGTACACCTTGGAAGCTGCACTTGGATGGTTTTGGAATAAGGAGGAAAATGGGACTTCAGCACTTAATACAGTTAACGATGACTTAAGATTGTCTTACTCATAGCTGAAAATGAAATGAAGACAGTGTTATGGGCCACAGTGTAAAATACTATAAAGACAGTTTGGTGTAGTAGCTGAAGCATTGGACTAGAACATGGGTGTCAAACTCGCAGCGTCATCTTGCCGTCACATGACATATTGTGACATTTTCCCCCTTCACGGAGCTGGGGTGGCGTGGCTTGCATGTGACACATCCGGCCTGCTGGCCACCAATTTGACACCTCTGGATTAGAAGCAGGGAAATTCAACTTGTAGTCCATCCTGAGTCTTGGTGTTTGGGGCCAGCCTCTCTCTCTGAGCCCGACCTATATCACACATTTGCTTTTGTGAGGTGAAAATGGGTCTTGTGCTACACTTGATAGAAGAAAATACTACATGAAACTAAGGCTACTTTAAAACAGATGTTGCCAGAGCACATTTGTGTTGTGGGCTTAGGTGGAAATCAGAAAGGCCCTATCAATTAATAAAGAAAAATTGATAATTCTTTCCAGTGAAAAGTCCATCTATTTAACTCACTCATGTGTGTGCTTATTTTTCCCTGCTTCTGCTTCTACTATTTTAATTTTCAAGAAAGTCTGGGCAAAGGGCAATGCCCGAAAGAAGTACAAAATGACATAAAGCATGATATATAAATATATACACATACACACTGTGGGTGTTACATACACTGAATGTTTTAAGTTTTGTTAAGTGGCCACTTAATACTATGAAGCAGCAAAAGCTGAAGAGCCACCCTGGAATTTTTGAAAAATGAAATCACCTGGTTCTTCTTTCAGATATATTATTATAGAGTTCAAAAGTCCATGGCAGAAGATTCTAAAATTAGCCTTTGAGTCTTCTCCAGAATCTTCAAAGAGATTCAATTCCCTGAACTAAGAAAGATTAATCAACTAGGTAAAGAATTTTCCAACTTATTAATAAATGTTTGAACTGACTCATTCCCTCCTCCCCACAACACTTCAGTACATTTATCAAAAGGTAAAGAAGAAACAACACCACTAGTTTTCAAATATTTCTATCTCCAAAATGCCTTGTCCAATTATGCATATACCTTCCAGGGGGGGGGGAAGAAGAGAAAGAGGGGGGGGGCAAGGACCACACACAGAAAAAAACACATCATGTGTGATACAGTCAAGTTAAGTTGTGGAAAAGGAATGCTCTAAAATTTGACTTACTATGGTGAACTTGATGCAAAACCTTAAAGACAACTATCTTCACATCATTTTTTCCCCCAGTACACTGATATGAAAGTAGAACCATACTCTGATTCACCACAGACATTTTCTTATGAAGGATTGCAATTCAGTCTTAGCAAAAACACAAATCTCTCTTACTCAGGAATTTACAAAGATTATTTGTTTGAAATAACAAGCAAATAACACTGTAAAATTTAAAACAATTTTACAAATAAATATTATTTGTAAATATTCTAATAAGGAATGGCTGTCATCTAACAATGTGTTAGAAAAGCTATGTCCAATTTAAGAAAGTAATGAAAATTACTTTCTTAAAAAAAAGCAAGTACCTGGGTAGAAGTCTGCATCTTTCTGAGAAAGCAAGCAAGAAAGAAAAAAGCAAAAGTCAGTGTTATAAATCAGCAGCCCTCAACTTTTTTGTCATCAGGGACTAGTTTCATGGAAGATAGTTTTTCCATAACCTGGGGAGGGGAGATGGTTTCAGTTTCACTTGCTAGCCCACCATTCACCTCCAGCTGTGCAGCCCGGTTCCTAACAGGCCACGGACTGATTCTGGTCTGTGGCCCGGGGGTTGGAAACCCCTGTTACAAGTGTCCAGATGATCCACAGCTGGCTCTGTAGGAACACAGTGCCTTAAAAGGCATTAACATCTCTAGAAAGTGAATCATGGTAATTGGTGCTAAATTTGTATAATTTACTTCAGCAGTAATGCACCGTATGCAGTTTCTGTCGAGGCTTCAAACGCAAGCCAAAAAAAAAGGCCATAAAGTAGGGAAAAGATAGCTGAGGACTTGCCTTTATAATTCACTTTTTAGACACCCTGAAACAGAAAATTAAATTCAGCTTCAAGGGCTTCAGTCACTTCCATTTTCTGACAGTTGGCTTTTCTTACCTGCCCTGTTTTAGTAGATGTTTCTCCCTTGGTACTTCTGCCTGTGGAATGTACCTGAGTGAGAAGCGCTATCGCATCTTCCAGCAGTAGTGGGCAGCAAACACACCCAACACACACACAACAATCCTGTGAGGTGAGTTGGGCTGAGAGAGAGTGACTGGCCCAACATTGCCCAGCTGATTTTCATGGCTAAGATAGGACTAGAACTCACAGTCTCCTGGTTTCTAGCCTGGTGCTTTAACCAATAGCAGATATACTAGATGGAGCCATCACATAAAAAGTGAGTAAGTACTAAGGTCAGGGGGAAATTGTTTATTTGACAGAATAATTGTGAAGATACCCTCACAAAACAATTTCTATTAGGGCACCAGTGTCTATGGAGATTCTCAGTCATTCAGGTCATGGTTATCCCAAAGGTGCCTTTTCAAAAGGCAGCTGGACTTCTTGCATGGGAAGCAAAATGTCTTCAGGGTAAAACCAAGTCCAGTTGCCTTTTGAAAAAGGAAACATGACATTTATCAGCAGCCCTTTGGATCAAGGGAGCCCTTTGCTTGAAAAGTTTAATAAGAATCACAGAAAGTTTTAATTTTATCCATCCCATGCCACCATTTGAGGTAATATAAAAGAAGAGCTTGAAAAGGGGAAAATGTGAATATTCACACCAAGTAGCTTTTACAAAATACTGCATTTTATTTTACTGAGTACTAATTTTAATGAATGATTTTTGGAACATTTACATCAAGCTGTGAGATCATCAGGGGATTTGAGGAAGTTATATAGGTATTTACCTCTATTTCTCTATTATCTGAATCTTGGAAAGGCCCAAAAGAAGATTTCACAAAACTGAAGCATAGTGTGAAACCCTCTCCCACATCTCAAAACAAGAAAGAAATATAAATCAATTCTTGAAGTTGTGTAACTTATTACTTCCTCCTAGGAGCAATGGGAAAGAAAAGGAAATATGTATTGTGTTCCAACAAGACAATATAGTAACCGGGGTTACATAATCTTGGCTGCAAAAAACCCTGACAACAATTGATGGCAGCAAGAATTAAAGTCTTCTATATTTTTTACTGCCATCTGATAGTCAACCAGATGTTGCAGTCCAAATCTGGTTGGCCGAATCATAGCACAACAGTCTCTCATCTTTTTTTTAATTTTCACTTCCATACTCTGGTCAGTGAGAACATGTCAATGTATTTCAGTGTCAGTTCATTCCAATTTTTATTTAGAATGTTTTAACTGCACCATTAAATTATTGCTTAAATCAAAGCTAAGCTTGGTAATAATGAAGATGGTTATGTTTTTAATAACCCACAACACAACCCTGTGTTGTGTCCTGCTGTTTAAAGTTTGAGATCAGCCAGGAAATAACAATGCTATTACAATGAGCAGCTTATTAATTATTTTAAGGATTAAGTTGCCAGTCCTAGCTATGTTAGGGTTATTAACAGTATGTTGTGGGTATGATAATAATAACTTGGATGCTAAGACTCACAGGAGGACTATACTTAAAACTGTTATCCTTTGGCACAGAATACATTTTGGGTGATCTTTCTTAATTAAAAGATTTCAATCTAATTCATGTTCTAACTCATTTTTCTGGTCCTTTGTTTCGAACCATGTAAGTGGGTGCTAGGTGTTCTGAAAGAAGAGCTGACTGTGCAAGCTCAGGTTTATACATACACAAATACAGGAACATGGTGTTCTTGATGAGATGAGAGACATGATAAAGGCATGGAACATGGGCAAAATATCTCAGAATCTCAGGATATGGGCTCAGACGGAAGACTAAGAAGAAATGCATATTTGGTCTTGGCTGATTAACATTTATCAGCAGAATCATCAATTCACAATAGGCTGGCTCTGAAACCTATTGCTTTTTTCAAATGCCATCTTCTACTTTCTAAAGACTTAACTGTGATCAGGTCACTTACTCTTTTTAAAAAAAATTGTTTAATTTGTTAGTGAAGTATAACAAATAATAATAATAATATATGAGTGATTGGATGACGAAACTTTCAAAATACCAAATACAATCTTTTTCTTCCTTTTTTCTATCTCACACACTTTCCCTTTCTCACTTTTCAAAATAAAAGTATAAAAAAGATAAAATGGTAACCCTGATCCAACTCAAGACAATGAATGGTGAATGGAGTCAGGACAACATTCAAACTTTAGATAAAGAAGAAAAATAAATGGTTTTTCCTCATCAGTAGATAGGCAGTATTTTATAAACATATGATCAAGCATTAAATATAAAACATATAGGAAGAGAATACATTGCTTGAGAAGCAAGACAAAAATTGTCTGTAAAAGTATCTAGGATTTAAATTGTAAATTGATGGTTTTCTTTATAGCAAGAGCAAGAGCACTTAAGACTTATATACACCTCTTTACAGTGCTTTCCTGTCTTATCTAAGTGGTTTACAGAGTCAGCATATTGCCCCCCAACAATCTGGGTCCTCATTTTACCCACCTCGGAAGGATGGAAGGATGAGTCAACCTTGAGCCTGATGAGATTTGAACTGTCAAATTGCAGTTTATTAATCTATTTGATAATGTCTTGTTTAATTAGATTAGGAACAATTATTGTGGTTAATCAATATTTGACACTAACAGAAACTGTGTTCCTATTTAAGATAAATACTTCATTAGGAATATTAAAAAGTAGACCCAATACAGGATATAAAGTATTGGAAGAAATATTTGTCTCACGCGTAGTGAGGTAGTTTTGACTCTCAGAGCATAGGACAATCAATAGCTCTGGAACTGATGAACTTTATAATTTTGGTATTGATGGGAGTGATCCACATGCTTATTCAATTTTTTCATCTGTTTCACAGACTGTCAGGATGTTAGAAATCTGGAAGGAAGATTTCTGATTTGATCAGAGTTTATTGTGAGACCCAAAGAACCGCACATAAGCCTTACAACAACAGTGCTTCTACCCCAAAATCCACAGTTGCAGTCTAAGGCAACTGAGACTGCCATTCGCAGAACTCTTATGTCAACAGGATCAGTAAACAAGTATTAATGTTTCTTCTGTTGAAATCATCTGAGGGGAATTCAGAGCAGTTAGCTGCAGAGAGCAAAGGATAAGATTGAAGAGGAGAATTGTGTCAGCCTCAGGAAGCCGGCGGGATACAGCTGATAGGAGAAGGTAGAGAAGCGGCTTCAAAGACGAGCAACGTCTTCTCGCTTGAGTGCTGTGCAAATTCCACACTCCTTGTAAGAGAGGGTCAATAGCAGCATTGTGTGAGCTCTAAGCGTCCCCTATGCTAATAAATACACCATCCTCAAAGCCAATAAACAGGGCCTCTGGGCAACGTAAAAAACAACAACAACCAACCTCTGACATTAGCAGAAGTTTGTTATGGAGCCTGGCTTCTGAGTGCCTGGAGTGCCAAAAAGATCCCACCCACACCCCATCTGTTCCAGCCCCACCAACTCCTCTCAAGCCGTCTGTTTCGTGTCACTCAGTTGGGATGGATCCTGTTAAAGATCTGATGTTCACTGAAGACTCTAAGGTGTCTGGAACATCTGCCTCTAATCATAAACACCACAGCTGGCAAGGATGTGATTGGGTGGTGGTAAGGGGTTGAAATCACCTTGATCCAGCACACGTTTGCTTTGATGTGTCTGCAACAAGTTTGCTGCCCAAAGAAAAAGGCCCAAGGATCTTTTTTTAAGCCTTTCCCCCCCACCCCCAACTAAAAATAATAATAATACAAAAATACAGAGTCTTAACACACCAAAAATCATAACCATATGACTCTCCGTTCCATGCCTGGCTTCTTTGTGTGCATGTGTGTTTGTGCCTCTCTAAAGAGAAACCAAAGAAGAAGAATCTGACAATGATAACATGAAACATGTCTGAGAGATAATGGGAAATTCAGAAGAAAATATATCCAAAAGAGAATTGGACTGCTGCTACCAAAAATGGAAAAAAACCTCTCCTGCCAAAGTGTGTTCACTGTAGTAAACTTAAGCAAGAAGATGTTACTTAACAGACATACTTAACAGGGGGAAAAATATTTTCTCCCTACAGTTTACATTCAGATATTGCAGATAAACACCTCTTACCCTTCTTGAGTTTTGAAGGAAGCTCTGCAAAATAAAACAATTTTTATTTGATCTTACATCAGCATAGACTATTATTTCTGTAGAGTAATAGAAGTGACACCCTCCCCTTAATGTTACTGTACCACATATTCTTTTAGCATTGATAGCTTGATAAGCATATGGACATGAGAAAAAAGAGAAGTACCTAAAGGAGTGTGTCACTCTGCTTCTCTAATTATGAGATCTTAATCTTATGTAAGTCAATGGACTAGTGAGATTGATTGAATTGTAAGAAGCCTTTGGGCTAGTCCGTTTTCAGATCTAAAAAGGAAACTGCACAAAATGAGTAGCAAGTTAATTTCACTGCATATGCTCAAGAGGCAGCTGATGTTTCCAAAAATTTGGATGGGTGGGGCAGAGGAAAGGAAAAGTTTAACTTTCTCTAAATTTGGGGAATGATCTATTGATTTTCTACAGGCATGTAGGATAGTTACACTGATACATACACATACCATTTAAAATAAAAACATTCATCACCCCAAACTGGATGCCTAATGCAATTGCCAGCAGGGTCTTTATGCTGAAAATAAAATTATAGGTACAACGTGAAAAGAGGTAGTGGTGACTTGGTTCTTCAGGAATCTCCCATTTGGGCAATAAACATGAAAATGGAAAATGCTGCCAACTTTCACTTCCTTCTGACTATCCCCAGTGGCTGCAAACCACTCTAAGCCAAATATTTCTTTGTCTCTTAAAAAGAAGGGTGGCAGCTGGGAGGGGTCATCAGAGACGAGAGGAAATAGCTATTCCATGGCAATAACCCTTCTGTACAAATTGGACCGTGCAAATTCATCTGTACATTTTTCTAATAGCTTGAAAGAACTTTGAAAGCATGGATGGTGGCCCTGAATGGGACCTTGATGTTTACCATTGGATTGTTCGTTTCGAGAGCCTTATTCATGCAAATAAGGACACTTAAATGACCACTTACAAGCAAGAGTTTCATTGGCCATTATAACATTAAAACTTTTCAAAACACAGCATTTAGAGAGAAGCCCGTTTTATTTTAACATTCATTTAAGATCAAAGCTGAATGACTGAAAACGTAACAGTTCTGTATGTGCTTTGGCAAAACGTTTTAACTTTTTCCATATCAAAAATGGTAGTCAGAGATTTCTTCCTGAAAAACCAATGCAATTTGAACAAAACCTGCATTGTGAGAGGTGCATGGTAATAAAGTTCCTTGGACACTTACCGATAGCTAAACCATATTTGGTTTAAATAAGAATAACAGAAGTTAGCAGTGATTTTTATATGACTCAGAAAAGAAGATTTAAGCAATGACAGGCAGGGATTCCAGGAATAGACAGACACCAGAGCACACTTTTTGTTTAAGTTTGGTACTAGTATGTGCTAGATCAAGTTACACTGTTTCGTGTTGTACCGTGTCATCCTGACACAACCGAAACAAAGGAGAAGTGACACATTGTCAGTGAAACATAACACGGGTCTCAAGAGAGGCTAAATCACCCTCTGTGTCATCGCTGGAAAATTTGGGAGCTGGCTTCCAAATCTATCTGAGATTCTGCAGGCAATCTGGAATGACAAGCATTCTTTGAAATCCCACTGAAGGCTGCAGAGTCAGATAAGAATCAGATTTATTAAGTTTATGCACAGTTGTACCAGGGGAAGGAGGCACATATAGGTGGCCAACAGCGAGGTAGGTGAACTCAGGATTATGAAAGGATTTATATATCTGTATATTGAAATGACTGTTTCTTCTGTGTACTGAAGTGCAACAGAACACTAGACAAAAACAGGTCATTCTTTCCCAGCCTAGTGCCATCCAGATATATATTGGGTTGCTGCCACATCCAGCCACGGGCTTTTCAGGACTTGTATTCTACCTGCCATCAGAAATTGCTTGTCATCTCAAACATAGAAGGAACAGAAGCTTTGAATGGGCTGATGCTGCCTTCTATGCTAGAGACCGAGAACAGACACGACACGGGGGTGGGTGGGGGTGAGGAATTGATACCTGTCCAGATATCATGCAGACACTGCAATCGTATCTGTCTAATGTGACAAAATATTAGTGCTGTAACCATCCTAATTGCAGGGTGGATTGAGAAATCCAGGTATTTGCAGCAATAAAATGGGGAAGTGTTAAAGAAAAAATATACAATTGATGGGAAACAATTATCTTGACAAACAATCAAAATAACCTTTAAAAACTTTTCTCCCTTCTAAGAATGCTTATAACATCCTCATTTTCTGATTTTCTCCTTGGATTTGAGGGTTTTGCTTTGATGAATATTTTACTGGAACAGAACCAATTATTACAGAAATCTGTGGTTCTTCCAGAGATACCTATCAGGAATGTGACAAGATTTTTTTTTTTAGAATATTAAAATACGAAAGAAATCCTGGGTGGATATTAGCAATTAAAAATAAACACAAACTGCTTTTTAAAAAAAAATACAAAAACCCACCTGTGTTAATATACTATTTCTTTTTTAAAAAATATTATTTCTTCTTACTAATATAAAATTGCATAATTAGGTACCCATGGATTTGTAGGGGAACAAAAAGAAAAAAAATGAGTTATCCTATTTTAATAGCATTTTAGTAGAATACACACCTACAGCATATTTTCAGTTTCTAGAAGCATTGGTGGTATTTGTATGTACATGAGCTTTAATTTTACTTTACAAAAGTTTTGTTATCATAAAAACATTCACTTTTTTTAAACTAATAAAAAATAATTTGTGGTGGAGAATTTTTTTTTTACTGTTAAGCATTATCGTTAGAGGCTTGAGGGCATATATTTATAATGTTGCCAATATTCTGAAATCTTAATTCTTCCCAGCAGACATCTCTTATCTGACAGGTTCTATCAAAACGACAGAAGAATAATGTTCTCAGGTCTACGTTCCTCCAAAAAGTTTTGCAGATATTATCAACAGGTAGAGATCAACCGTAAAAAGCCCTGTTTACCTCTGTAAACATCAAAGGAAAACAGCTTGAAAGCACACCCAATTCTCCCAGGGCAATGGAATGCCATCTGCTGACCATGTCACAAGTTGGATCTTATTAGAAGTCATATCAAATACTAAGTATTTTCCCCAAAGGAAGCATCGTTCCCCATCTCTTAATCACAGGAAAGATAGATGAGAACTATTAACTAGAATCTGCTTTCAGTGAAGAAACACGCTCCCTGAAACATTTGCCCGAGATTTGTACTTTAAGGAAGCAATTAGAATGCGGTTTCTTCAGAAGATGGCAGGAAACTTCAAAGAGAAAACACAGAAACCAATTGCATTCCTCTGTCCAACCCGTTTGCCGCCTTTCTGCAAACAAAAAAATCTGTTATAATCTCGAGGTGCAAACTCCAGCACAACAAGCGTTGTCTACAGAGCATCCAAATACCAAAACTGCAGCCTCAATTACAACTAATCAAACAAAGAATGCCAGATTGGGGCCTAACTCTCCCACAGATCACTGTATTCAGAAACTAAATCCTGTTGTGAAAATAAATTGTAGCTCTATAAATGACAGAAAGAGGATGCCTTTTCATAAATATCTACAATTTGCATGCTTGTAAAAAAAATACATGCAGTTGCAAAAGACACATTTCTGGAACGTCAAATGTGGCATTTGTTCCTTTTAAAAATTTGAATATTCTATTTGAAAATTTGAGTCTCGGACAAGGCGAGCATTGCTGTTGATGGGAAAATAGACCGGGAAACCATTTAGAAGAATCTATAGTAGCATTAAATGAATCAACCCCATTTTGTCCTTCTCTTTCTTCTACATCAGGGCTGTCAAACTCCTAATCCACAGGCCGGATGCATCATGCGCTGGCCACGTCCACGCCGGGTTTAGAAAAGGGGTAAAAAGTCCTGATACATCATGTGACGCCACCATGACAATGTGAGTTTGACACCCCTGCTTTACATTAATTAAAACAACTTATTGTGCTTTCCAGATTTAGTTCACAATACACAAATCTCTGGAATGTTAAAGGAAACACATATTCACTCACATACACTAGAATTAAGACTATTCATATTCAACTTAAACTAGGACCAAATTTGTCCTTTCTACTTGTGTCATTTCTCTAATGTCACAACAGACTCACACACACACACAAAAAAAAAACCTCAAAAGGAGAATTTATACAAAGGGAATGACACAAATTGGTTAAAAAACCTGTTAAAACAGTGATGGCAATATAGGTAGATAATATCTAATCAAAACCGATTCTTCAGAAGAAAAAAATAAATGCTAAAAGTGGGATTGCAGTTATGCATGTAAATAAAAGAGCTCCTGAGGAGAATTAGAGGGATATCTTCCCAAATGATCTAGAAGCAAACTTAATCTTATGGACTCACAATCAGGAGGTGGTGGTGGTGGGGAGAAATAAGCAGAAAGATGGGAACCAGAGAAAGAAGTAAACAAAATAGCTGGTTGTGGATATTTACATGTAGCACTTAAAGGTGCTTTTTCAAGAGGCAACTGGACATTTTTGTTTTTTCTTTGAAGATGTTTAACTTCTTGTCCAAGAAGCTTCTTCAGCTCTAACTGGATTGGTAGGGAATGGAACAGGGGTGGGATTCTACAGGTTCGCACCTATTCGCTAGAACCGGTTGTTAACATTCTAAGCAGTAAGGAGAACCAGTTGTTAGAAGAAATTACTGGCCTAATCCTGTAAGGAAGGCAGGAAGGAAACATTCTGGTGTTGCTTACAGAAACAGTCTCTCCGTTAACCCTTATTACATTCTTGGCAGGACTAGACTTGCTGTCTCAGGAACTTCTCTAGAGGTTTTCTTCCCTCTTTTGCTGGTACTTTGCTTGTGTGGAGTGACCATTCAAAGTTACAATTGCATTGAAAAAAGTGACTTATGACCATTTTTCACACTTACGACTGACGCCAGGTGAGATGCGTGCCCCGATGTGAGTGATGCTGAGTTGGCCATGCCCAGCCAGTCACATGACCACCAAGCCATGCCCACCAACTAAGCCACACCCACAGAACTGGTTGTTAAAAAATCTGAATCCCACCCCTGGAATGGAAGGATTTATATTCCTTGCAGACAGCTGGTCATGTGCATTCTTTTTAGAGAGTCATTGAGGCTACTTGGAGGTTTATCTGTGTCCTCAGGGTCACCTGAATGGTGAAAATGGGTGTAGATCCCTCTTGGAACTGTTGAAAGGATTGTGTTGTAGATTGGAGATAGATGATGTTGTATTCCTTCCCCTCTCTTGAGAGAGGGGCTGTTTGCTTTTGACATAGATGGCCTCTTTGACCCCTCTTTCCAACCAGTGGTCCTGTCTGTCCAAAATGTGGGCTTTGCTGTCTTTGTAGATGTTTACATGCAGCAATTATTTTGCATTCAGTCCTTTCAGATTCAGCTAATATCAGTGGAAGTGGTGAATAAATGGTAAATTGCTAATATCAGAGTGTTTGCATTAGGACTGCTCTGGTGCATATCTATGTACATACACGTGCACACGTGCACACAAACACACCCCTAATTCCCTATGGCCAAAAGGCTTTTGTAAAGCAAGCTGTGGTATTCCAAAATTCAGCCTAGCTTTCTGTAATGACCCGAACATTTAAACAATTGCAAAGATGCTCAGGGATAATACCTTAATACATTTTATATATCCAGTGGGCAAGCAGATTTTTGGTGAAATGGAAATGTGTGGGTCTTTTTAAAAGTCTTGGTGATCTCAATAGAGCCTCTGGACTTTTGTTACTACTTACTATTCTACAAGGTTCCACAAAGTTGCTTCTGAGTTATCTTATTCCTTCTTATTGCCGACCCAAAACACCTGTGTGTAGAAAAGCAGAGTTTTTTTAAAATCAGTTTTTGCATCTCTGCCAGGCAGGTACTACACTAATTTGCAGCCACCATTTTTCAAGTGACTGGGTTCAAATGTTTGCAATGGAACAGCTTTTCTTTCTATCTATCTTCCTTTATTCCATCTTTTAAAAAAAACAAAAAAAAGACAATAAAAATATTTTGCTTCTTGCTCGCCCTTTCCCACTTAGCTTTCCATATATTTTTTTCTCTCCCTGGTACGATCTATGACAATATATTTTAAATCTCACCAATAACCCAACGAAATGAGCCTTTGCCTCGAGGCATTGGTTCATTATATAAATCAAATAAGCTCCAGAAATAGACACATAGGGACTGGTAATGCCCAGTGAATTCTTAATGCTTGGCTAAAATGATTTGGGTGCATTGCATGCAGATGTCAGGTATTTAATAAAGAGCTCCATTGTTCAGGCCCTGCTCCTCCTCCTCCTCCTCCATTGCTCCCAGCACTCCTTCAGGAAGGGAGGAGGAAGGGAGAGACAACCATTCCAGCTGGGCTTGGAACCTTGTTTGAGTCAGGAAAACCACAGCTCATAAGCAAAGAGGAAGCATAATGTTCTACAAGGACAAAACATTAGCAAAAATGTCACTCAGCCCCAGTTCCACATGTTGGCTGCCATGGCCTTTTCCTTCAAGCATGCCCGATTGATATAAATTCCATCTGCTCAGCAGCCAAGTGACAGAGAAGGAATAGCAGCATCTGGTCTCTATTGCTATCGGGTTTTTGTTCCATGTTAGACCTTAGCTAGAAACATATGAAGAGACGAAAATGTTGGCAAGCAACTCAAAGGCTGCTCTGGCACAACGGAGGCTTTCTGATGCTTTTCACACTTCACTTTGGGTTTTTAACAGAGAAAAAGGCGGAGGGAAGTTGATAAACTCGGCTTTAGGAGCCAAGGCCTGGAGGTCCTTTGGTCTTTGAGTGCATGTTTGTATATTGTTGAAAAACGAACAGCAGAATTTCTTTTGAAAGGGAAAAAAAAGTTAACAAAGAATGCAAGCCTACCCCGAGTCCCATTTCATTTAATGGGTGTTATTTCTAGGTAAGCGTGTATAGGATTGCACTGTGTGAGAATGTAACTCTATAACTAACTTTCCACTCCCCCCCTCTTAAATATCCACTGGTTTGGATCTGCTCCCAAAACACTTTATATTCTCTGGAAGAGCAGCTGAGAAATACCAGAAGAACAAACCTGATTAGTTCTTGATTAACCCTATGATGTCTAGCAATGGTGGTTAATTTGCTGAGTTAAGCAGAGAGAGATAAGGAGGGATACAAAAAATTTTTTTTTTAATGTGGTTACTACAAATAATTGAGTCCATGTAAAGAGAAAAGGAATTATTTAATATAGACAGTAAATTATGCAGATAGATGAGAAGAAGCAGTTATAGAGTTGAATCTCTTCTCTTGTGATGCATGCAAAGACTACTACAGAAGTCTCATTCTCGCGGCCTGCGGGCCAATTGCGGCCCGCAGGACGATATCCTGTGGCCCCCACCATGATATGAAAGTATAACATTTGAGGATATTTTTTTAACAAGTTTTTTAGTTTTTTGTGGAATCCCTTATGCGGCCCAGCCTCACCCAGACTCTGCCTCCAGCGGCCCCCAGGTAAATTGAGTTTGAGACCCCTAGACTACTACAATTACTGAAAGACTTGAGAGGCTCAAATAATTCATTTTCCTATATTTACATAAAAGTATTTATATTAGAAACAAATGTAGCTTTTACTTATTTGTGTACTTTCCCGATGCTATTGAAGAATTAGAAAGTCATCTCATTTGGGAGATATGGCCACAAACTGAGAGAAAGTGAATGAACAGCAATTAAAATGATATCATAATAAATCCATACGCTCTAGAAGATGTGAAATAGTGAGAAAACATAGACAGGGAGTGGTTCCAGAGTACACATAAATTTATAATAAAGTCTTAAGATGCTTAATTATTGATTCAGAGTTAAGAGAAGCTTTTATATAACAAACAAAATAGGAAAACATCACCAGGAACTTCCCATCATCCATGTTCTGTCATCCACTGTCCATTAGTATGGACAATGATGTCCAGAAGTGTCCATATATAGCCTTCAGAACCAAACATTCTGTGTGAAAGAGATGTAATAAAGCCTGCATGCTACCAACAGACAATTCCATGCCACAAAATATTTTCTATATCTATCCCCTTTCCACAGTTGGATCCAGAGGTGGTATTCAGCAGGTTCTGGAGAACTGGTAGTGGAAATTTTGAGTAGTTCGGAGAACCGGCAAATACCACCTCTGACTGGAGATTTTACAGTATCCTTTCCATGCCACGCCCACCAAGCCACACCCACAGAACTGGTAATCAAAAAATTTGAATCCCACCACTGGTTGGATCCATAGAAAATTAGCAACAAAATAGGAGCTATGAAATGATGTACATGATGGTCCATGAAATGATTGTACATGGATGCTTAAATGATATTGAAAACATTTCCTTTCTTGTAAAAATGCTGTGGTATGATATACTGTGTTAGATAGCGATTTTTAAGGAAAAAGTGTTGCCATTTCCTGATTATGAAATGTCATTTAATAACATTTAATATTAATTTTTAAAAGTCATTTAAGTTTTACTGTCTACCAAGTTTCTTTGTGTCAGACACACACAGTACACAAAAATCCTTGTGTGTGTTTGTGTGCGCGTGTGTGCGTGCATCCGTGTGTGTGTGTGTGTGTGTGTGTATCTGGTCTCCTAACAACTAGAAATTATTGGAGGGTTTTGTAAATCCCCAGGATTGAATGTGAACATTTTCATCTCAGAAAACCTGAGAATCTATAATGGCAAGAAGACTAGATTGAAGCAATAAGCAGGTAGTTTATAACTTTCTCTTAAAAATCTGAATAGGGTTCAAACAAGTGATGCATTGGACTTCATTTAATGCGTGAGGTGGCTTGTGGGAAAAACTGCTTCCATCTGTTCCCCATATGCTAATGGTGCAAATTCTTAATGTAGTCCATGTGGGCTATGAGATAAAGTCACTTGAATACTCTTGAACAGCACCGCTGAATTAGAACACTGGGCAAATAATCCATTGCCGTTATCAACATACAGAGCATTCTAACAATTAAGGAAAGGTAAATGAAGGAGCCCTCTCCAACGAATAAAGTAGGTCTGAGTCCCAAAATGGCTCACCAAAATTTTCTATAGATTTTTATCTTTTAAGAAACCTATAGAAAATCTATTCAGCAGTAAGTAGATGTTTCTACTGATCCATGCAATTATATATTTTTCGTTCCATAAGACACACTCCCCCTCCCCACCCCAAAAAAAAGTATGTGGAAATGTCTGTGCATCTTATGGAGCAGATATGGTGAATAGCAGCTGGGCTGCGATGGCGGGGTCCTTTTACAATGCTAAACCCTGCCTCTTCTGCCTCTTGTCTGCAGTGCTGAAGTCAATAGGCAGAGCTGGCACATGACAGGACACTTATCTGTGGTCCTCTCAGGCTCCGCTCCTGCCCTCGCTACTCTGCTGTCCATATTCACAGTGAGACAGCACTCCGTATTCATATTTTTTTTCCACTTTTTTCCTCCTTGAAACCTAGGTCAGGTGTATCATATGGAGCAAAAAATACGGTATATCTCTGACATATCTGAAATTAAACATACAATGAAGTACACCTTCATTGTGTATTATGCACTGGTAAACAGCAACATCAATTCAGTCACAAAAAAGAATGAATTATAAAATAACAGTATGATTACTGAAATGCAACACAATTTAAAGAATTCACATTCCAATAGTTATCAGGCTAATTTACCCCTTGCTAAGAAAAAATAGAAATTAATATTATTGTATTTCTTCATATGAAACTGTTATTTTTTACTTATTTCTAGAAAGTTATGCATTAGCTATCTGATAGTTTCCAGGATTAATTTAAGGCCCTGATTCCATCTTTTAGACAATGATTACTTTCTTTCAAATATTTCTCCCTGTGTATTCCATTCAGTATTTGAAATCTTGCATCAGATTCTTTAAACATATGAAAGAAAGTTGCTAGGAACAAGACATTTTTTGTAATGGATCTCACTTTGTGGAACGTTTTTCTAGATGAAATTCATCTTGGACACAATGTTCTTTTAGCTATTCAACTAAAATATGATTGTTCAACGTATAGTTTTACTATTCCGTTTATGATTGA